AAAAAAAAAAAAAAAAACAGAAACTGATATTAGATTAAGTGTTTTACAGAGCAATATTTTACCTGACATAATATAGACATCTTCATCTTTGCTCACACAAGTTGGTGAGATTAAAATAATAATAAAATAAAATAATAACATAATGTATAAAGAACACATGTAAAAAAACATGTATTTATTCTTAATTATGTGAGATTCTTATGCTCACTATTATAAAAATTGACTGTGCTAATCTGTTTTTTCTGGCATATTTTTTCTTCATACATCAATTTTTAAAAAGCAACTAATAAAACAATTTGACTAATTAACTTTTCCGAATTAGTTATATTCAGTGTGGTCGCTAAAACCTTCCCATTCATTATAATCTGAACATTTTTATTATTATTTTGATTCCAACAGCTGGCTTAACATTTAACATACACATTAAACATATTTCATAACGATCAAATTGATCTCATTAAGAAGAAATACTTCAAATAAAGTGAGGAAGTAAAAATACAACCTCACCACGGTCTGTCTGAACAAGTCGTCTATTAGAAGCAAAGGTTTTGACACCAATCTTTTAAAAAGAAAGGCTTGTATGAAGATGGACGACTGCTCCTCTGAGGACATCTATCAACACCTTTTAACATCTGTCTCAGCATGCTCTGCTTGCAGATAGAGGGACACAGGAAAGTGTAACGTTTTGAAAGACCTGCACTTTTCCATCCTGATCCCTGAAATGTGATTTTTCTTCATTTAACAATATCCCATAGCAAAGCAGTTTCAACTTTCAACTCAACTCTTATCATGTCACCCAAAGCAACAATGCAAAAATGATGAATGTTGTATAAAGACACTGAAGACAAATGAAACATAGGAGCGGGAGGTAAAACTGGCAATTGATCAACTAGTTGTGTTTAGAAGCAGAAAAACCAAGCCCTTTTGGGGTGTTGTGTTGGTTGATTATTGTAAAACACTTGAGATTTCTATGTCTAAGCTACTTAATTAAGTTTTATGTTCTTACTATAGTCAAATTTGCATGGTTTCAGATAAGGAGACAATTCAGATGATGTGACTAACTTTCAGGGACAGTAGATTCTGCAGAGAATGATTTGGTTGCTTCACTAAATGTCAGCAGCTACACTAGAAAGAGGTCAAATCTAACCATTCAGATCAAAAGTATTGCATCTTATCACTCCTGTAAGTGGTGAATAGAAATAGTGACTAATAATTGTTATTTAAAAAATCTGCAGAGAGTTGTGCATATCTGTGCTCCTGATGTTTACATTGGATGTTGTATTCAAATAATATAAGAAAACAGCATCCAGCTGTTAAAAAGTGAAAGATGAAATGTGTTACACCTGTTTGGAGGGCTTTGCTTGTTTTAACACCTGAGTTATTGTTTTATATTTCATATTAATTGCAAATTAGTTGGAGAAACACAAAATAAGTTTGGTTTGTTTAGAGCAAATGTTAACTTTCTTCTAAATTGAACATAAGAGCTCCACTTAGGTTTGCAAAGTAGCATTTGGATGGATGACAAGAGTTAAGGGGAATGGCATTTTGACAAATGAGACCTCAATAGAGGTTTTTGGGAATGTACCATGCTATAGTTGTAAAGTGTAAAACCAATTCCTTGGGTTTATAACTCTGCTGTTCCAAAGGTCTCTGTACTAGCTCATCTTCTCTGTAGTATGAATATTATTGTCATCTGCATATTTGGTCAAGTGACTTTTTGATATGTTGTTTTTACTGACTTTAAAACCAGGCATGAAGTTGAAGGCACTGTAATATATGGTTGGGATTATCATACATGCTGCCTCAATTTAAGTTGTGTATAGCTGAATGTGAAAAAAAACAACATTTTGAAGTAGGACTGAAACAATTAATTGGATTACCGGTATTTGTAATTAATAAATTATTAAAAATAACCGTCAACTAATTTAGTAATCTATTAATCACTAACTGTAGAGTAGAGAATCTACAACATGTTTATCTGACAGAGAAACCCACACGGAGCAGCAATTATACCAAAAGTGTAAAATAAAAACAGATTAATCGATTTGCTAAATAATCGTTTAACTGGGATGTTTTTTATTTATCTGTTGGATTCTGCAGTATTTTGTGTATTTGTTTTATGGGGATAAATTGAATAATTATAAAACCTAGTAAAAGACAGTTTACATTTTATTAGGTTCTGATACCTCAAACCAAAGAGGGTTTCTCTGCTCTTTTCTAGGGGTAAAAACAGCAAAGACAGACATTAAACAAAAGACAAAATGTTAAGACTGTAAATGTTAAGAATTCTGCTCAACCCAAATTCTTAAAAAATAATCAGTTCGAGTAAAAGAAAAATCTTTGTTTCCTGAATATTATTATAAACCATTAAACAATAAGCAAGTGACAAGGAATGAAATAGCTGGGGAAACAAGTCCAGATACATTTTACATTATAAACTAGGGCAAACATTTGCCTTATGTAATGCAATGATGCTACAATGTTCTGTTACTTTATATCCGGTTCTATTTTCAATAGTGATTTCACATAGCAATAAAAAAGATTACATTCTAGTGCCTTTCACAGCGGTATACAGATG